TGATGCACATAGGCTCCAGTTTCCTGAGCGAATAAATGACGTATGAACCAATTGTTGGTCACCGGCTACCATGGGACTACATCTCCTAACGTTACTCCACTGCCTTGTGGATTAGACCTTTGGGTCGAAGGCTCTGGGTGTGGCTCCACAAGAAAACCACCTGTTTCGGTTTGGGCACCCGGGCAGTATTACAGCCCACACACAAATCAAGTGACTTGTGTGGCGTTAAATTGATCTGAATGAGAGAGATAACTAATAATTCGAGACACTCACCTGACTCCTGATATAATTATGGCAAGGTGAAAGTGAAATAATTATTGAAATTGTCATCTAGACGAACGTTTTCATATTCTTTTGACAGTCTGTGTCCAGACTGCTGGTTTACAAACTACCGGTAATACTTCGTAAACAGACTCTAACTTAAAACCTCAACATATGTTAATTACATCACATGATTTACAAATTTCCCTGATTTACGACTTAAAACTAATGATGTGTATGTACAAGATTATTAGGTAGAACTTAAGTGTCCTTTTGGTATTGTCTTTTCTGAACTAATTACTGAATCACGAAACTAAATTTCATCAAAAAAACTAACATTAACAGTCAAATCATTATAAAACTCAGGTTATCTTCTTTGGCTGTTACTTCTTCGATTAAATTTTTCATAGTGAACACACAACTCCAAGCTGGATAGAGCTCAGCTCATACTATTTTAGATACATAATTGTCACTATATGAAATTTAGTCAATTAGTAGTATAGAGAAACCTTCTTGAACTGTCATTTATGAGTTGGTTACACACATTATAACTTCTTACTAGTAAGCACATATTTTTCTAAAAAAAGAAAAACTTATGTTAATGATAATGAGTGAAACCGAAAATCTTATTTTGTTCTTACAATTGATTGATCACTGGGTAGTGACCAATGTCATATGTGTCAAGTCCTTATTAGTGCAGATCGAATTCTATCGACCACGAGTGCTAAGTAAGTAGCACGAAACTCAGGTCCAGGGATTTCTGTCGACTATCTCCAACTACCATCTAATCAATCTCATTTTGTTCTTTTCAAGTGTCCAAATTATTGATTTTACTTGAAATTTTCTTAAGTTATGTAGGTTATTAATTCAAAGTAATGAATAAACAATTATAATGTTACAATGCTGATGAATGTGAAAATATCATTGGATATTGAACATATCCTATATATCATTGTTGATTATGTCAATATTTGGCTTTTTACTATCATTATTACTATAACTATTTTGACTCAATTATATTTAATTGTTAAACAGGATGAAGGACTGCGTAGACGCCCAACTTCGAGACCAACAGGCAGGACTCCGTAAGGATCGATCGTGTACAGACCAAATCGCAACTCTACGGATCATTATGGAAAAATTAATTGAATGAAATTCATCACTCTACATCAACTTCATTGACTACGAAAAGGCATTTGATAGCGTGGACAGAACAACACTATGGAAACTTCTTCGACACTACGACGTGCCTCAGAAGATAGTCAATATCATACAGAATTCCTGTGATGGATTAAACTGCGAACTCGTGCATGGAGGAAAGTTCATAGACTCGTTCGAAGCAAACACCTGTGTCAGACAAGGTTGCTTACTCTCACCCTTTCTCTTTCTCCTGGTGATCGACTGGATCATGAAGACGTCAACATCTCAAGGGAAGCGCGAGATACAATGGACATCTAAGATGCAGTTGGATGATCTAGACTTCGCAGATGATCTGGCCGTTCTATCCCAAACGCAACAGCAGATGCAGGAGAAGACGAACAGTGTGGCATCAGCCTCAGCAGCAGTATGTCTCAATATACACAAAGGGAAAAGCAGGATTCTCCGATACAACACAGAATGCACCAATCCAATCACAATTGACGTAGAAGATTTGGAAGATGTAAAAACATTTACATATTTGGGCAGCATCATTGATGAACAGGGTGGATCTGATGCAGATGTGAAGGCGCGGATCGGTAAAGCAAGAGCAGCATATTTACAACTGAGGAACATCTGGAACTCAAAGCAACTGTCAACCAACACCAAGGTCAGGATTTTCAATACAAATGTCAAGACAGTTCTACTGTATGGGGTAGAAACCTGGAGAACTACGAAAGCCATCATCCAGAAGATACAGATGTTTATTAACAGTTATCTACGCAAAATACTTCGGATCCGTTGGCCGGACACTATCAACAACATTCAACTGTGGGAAAGAACAAACCAGATCCCAGAGGAGGAAGAAATTAAGAAGAAGCACTGGAAGTGGATAGGACACACATTGAGGAAAGCACCCAACTGTGTCACAAGACAAGCCCTCACATGGAATCCTGAAGGTCAAAGGAAAAAAGGAAGACCAAAGAACACATTACGCCGAGAAATGGAGATAGACATGAGAAAAATGAACTAGAAAAGAAGGCTCAGGACAGAGTGGGTTGGAGAATGCTGGTCGGAGGCCTATGCTCCATTAGGAGTAACAGGCGTAAGTAATTAAGTAAGTAATATTTAATTGACAAGTATAAAAACTGGTTAGGCTATTTATTTTAAATTGTATGCTTAAAATGAATTTACTTGGAAGTGAGATTCTGAACTTGCTCAGTAATTCACTTAGAAAAGAAAACTTATTTTAAGATAATTGATAAATCAAAGGATGTCGATGTATATAGTTGATGATCATAGGTAACATATCTCAATATCAATACACGTGGACAACTACGGACACTCATTCGATTGGGAAAATGTAGAAATCTTAGACAGAGGAAACTCCAAAAACACCAGAGAATTTCTAGAAGCCTGGCACACAGGTCAATCAGCAATCAACAAACATATTGAAATTAATCCAATTTATCAACCAATCAGGGAAATCATGCATAAATATAGGAACAAAAATCAAACCAATTGAAGACAAAACCAAAACAAAGAAGTGAACAATGATAAATTTAAGATCAATAAGAATCAATCAACATCGAGGTGCACAGAACAAGCTGTGAAACACATATGGAGAAATTTGAACACTTCACTTCTATCTGAAATTTGTACTGATGATGTCGTTCAGAAGAACGATGAAAGCTCCAAGATCAAACCATCCAGCTCAGAGAACAAAATCCCATCAATAACATATCTCAGACAATTAAAGTGATAAGGTTTCATAGTATAATTAAACAGATAGAGCTCTGTTTAAAACATTCATTGTACGATCCTTATATGAGGTCATTGATTTACTGTTTTTTTGTGAAGAGTCATAAACTAAGATGAACTAATTGTTCAATATCCTTTATTCTTTGATGGTTCTTTAATTTATCTTAATTTTTGATGGAATATAACTTGCCAAAAAAAACTATTATAATTTCTTGAGGTTTTTACAATGTTATTATGAACATTTTGATTAAATCCGTTACATGTAGTTCACATAGGTTTTCAGTAAACGATGGTTTTAATTTTCATAAATCACCGGAAACATTGTTTATTTTATTATTATTATTATTATTATTATTATTATTATTATTATTATTATTATTATTATTAAGGATTGGCAACAAAGTGAAGAGCTTTAGCGGATATTAGACATCTGAATTCAGACTGTGGTAATAATCGACTCCAAATTAAGCAACTTCAAGAAAAGTTTTATATCTATATCTATCTATCTATCTACCTATATATATATATATATATATATATATATATATATATATATATATATATATATATATATATGCTTTTAGTATTTCCGTTCTCCAATCGATCTTCGTAACAGTAGTAGTGGCTGTTTGATAAGTTTAATTACGTTTACAATATATTAAGAATAGTTTTTTTCACACAATTTATCATGTTGATAATTTTCTAGGCAAGATCACACATGCATCCTTTTTAAACGGCTATTGAAGACTCGTAAACTTTTGTTAGGCGGTTTGTCTTCGGTATGGTACACTTCAGTAGTGAGAATCCGCAATCTATCATCTATTATCGATAGCGTGTCTTCAGTCTCGCTCTTGAAAGCTTGTCATGTAAACACATAGGATTCAAGGTCAAGCGTTGGTTCATTGATACTGAAATCGTGGATGCCTACTTCTCAAGAGTTTTGTGCTAGACGAAATAGTTGTCCAATACTTCCTAATATACAATGATTGTTTGCTTAAGGTCATTTCGAGATACCAACCGTGATATTCAAACTATCGCCGAAATGCCCGTATTGTGACGAATGTTAATCATCGGAATATGCAATTGGTCAGTTCATTAGGTGTCAGTAATTTAAGTTTACTATTAGGTTACCTGTTAGTAAACAAAATTGTTTTCAATGTGATATTAATTTTATCTTACGTTTTGGGATAGACTATCATAAAGTATTTCAGTAGAAACTTTTCGGAACTTCTACATCAAAAACGAATTAAGTAATATTACATAATAGTGTCTTCACGTAGACAACAGACTTATTATACATTTATTTATACTTCCAAATGATTAATGAGCATGAACCGTTAAGTTTCTTCATTCATAAGTTGGGTTAACGGCTGAATAAAAATATAACAGACAGGATATAAACTTGTTATTGTTTGGCTTGTATCTTCCCATTGAGGTTTAACACTGCAATTGGTCAGTCTGTTATTGGCATATGTGCATACTGTGCGTATGCCTTGATATTACCTTAATTCGAGTTCTAGAGTGAACATCAACTCTCTGGAATGCAGGTACATAGAGCTGACGAGTCCCAAATAGGACGAAACGCTCGTCCTGGATTCCACTGCTAGCCACTATCCATCAGACAGAATATACAGTCAGAAATGTAAATTGCATGATTACATGATAACCGAAACGCTAATATTGAATAGATAAATGAGTTGATAAATTATTTATATATAAAGTTCAACGGTCATATGCGCTGTGACTAAGTCCGGTTAGCTATCACGTAATGTATTCGCCAATCGCAATACGATTTATAGACTCTTGCACTGTATTGAACGAATGATGTTCGACCGGTCTGATCAGCCTAGTAAGGTATTAGTAGTAGTAGTAGTAGTAGTAGTAGTAGTAGTAGTAGTAGTAGTAGTAGTAGTAGTAGTAGTAGTAGTAGTAGTAGTAGTAGTAGTAGTAGTAGTAGTAGTAGTAGTAGTAGTAGTAGTAGTAGTAGTAGTAGTAGTAGTAGTAGTAGTAGTAGTAGTAGTAGTAGTAGTAGTAGTAGTAGTAGTAGTAGTAGTAGTAGTAGTAGTAGTAGTAGTAGTAGTAGTAGTAGTAGTAGTAGTAGTAGTAGTAGTAGTAGTAGTAGTAGTAGTAGTAGTAGTAGTAGTAGTAGTAGTAGTAGTAGTAGTAGTAGTAGTAGTAGTAGTAGTAGTAGTAGTAGTAGTAGTAGTAGTAGTAGTAGTAGTAGTAGTAGTAGTAGTAGTAGTAGTAGTAGTAGTAGTAGTAGTAGTAGTAGTAGTAGTAGTAGTAGTAGTAGTAGTAGTAGTAGTAGTAGTAGTAGTAGTAGTAGTAGTAGTAGTAGTAGTAGTAGTAGTAGTAGTAGTAGTAGTAGTAGTAGTAGTAGTAGTAGTAGTAGTAGTAGTAGTAGTAGTAGTAGTAGTAGTAGTAGTAGTAGTAGTAGTAGTAGTAGTAGTAGTAGTAGTAGTAGTAGTAGTAGTAGTAGTAGTAGTAGTAGTAGTAGAAGTAGTAGTAGTAGTAGTAGTAGTAGTAGTAGTAGTAGTAGTAGTAGTAGTAGTAGTAGTAGTAGTAGTAGTAGTAGTAGTAGTAGTAGTAGTAGTAGTAGTAGTAGTAGTAGTAGTAGTAGTAGTAGTAGTAGTAGTAGTAGTAGTAGTAGTAGTAGTAGTAGTAGTAGTAGTAGTAGTAGTAGTAGTAGTAGTAGTAGTAGTAGTAGTAGTAGTAGTAGTAGTAGTAGTAGTAGTAGTAGTAGTAGTAGTAGTAGTAGTAGTAGTAGTAGTAGTAGTAGTAGTAGTAGTAGTAGTAGTAGTAGTAGTAGTAGTAGTAGTAGTAGTAGTAGTAGTAGTAGTAGTAGTAGTAGTAGTAGTAGTAGTAGTAGTAGTAGTAGTAGTAGTAGTAGTAGTAGTAGTAGTAGTAGTAGTAGTAGTAGTAGTAGTAGTAGTAGTAGTAGTAGTAGTAGTAGTAGTAGTAGTAGTAGTAGTAGTAGTAGTAGTAGTAGTAGTAGTAGTAGTAGTAGTAGTAGTAGTAGTAGTAGTAGTAGTAGTAGTAGTAGTAGTAGTAGTAGTAGTAGTAGTAGTAGTAGTAGTAGTAGTAGTAGTAGTAGTAGTAGTAGTAGTAGTAGTAGTAGTAGTAGTAGTAGTAGTAGTAGTAGTAGTAGTAGTAGTAGTAGTAGTAGTAGTAGTAGTAGTAGTAGTAGTAGTAGTAGTAGTAGTAGTAGTAGTAGTAGTAGTAGTAGTAGTAGTAGTAGTAGTAGTAGTAGTAGTAGTAGTAGTAGTAGTAGTAGTAGTAGTAGTAGTAGTAGTAGTAGTAGTAGTAGTAGTAGTAGTAGTAGTAGTAGTAGTAGTAGTAGTAGTAGTAGTAGTAGTAGTAGTAGTAGTAGTAGTAGTAGTAGTAGTAGTAGTAGTAGTAGTAGTAGTAGTAGTAGTAGTAGTAGTAGTAGAATTGATTTTCAAGCTTTATGATTTAATAGAATAAAATGACTCTTGTTATGTATTGAATTTATGTGGTTCAGCAATAACAAGTTATAGTTGTGCAGCATCTACATATAACTGTCATATATTGTTTGATATTGTAAATTAGTGTAGAGGAAAAGAATGTTCATTCATTATTACAAGTGGTCTGAACAGATTCACTTTTATTTATATTAGCATTTAAGTTTGTTTAGTCAAAGGGATAGAATTCACTTATAATTGAAGAACTGTACTGCTTCATTCACTTTGATAACCAATAGTACTGTGGTGTGTACTACTTGTATCGACATAAGTAATATATGACGTCAGTCCGGAACAGAATGTCTGGCAGCAGAGAGACAAGAGGATCGAACAGTACAGAGTGAGAACAGGATGCAATTTGTATGAAAATGCAAGAACAATGAAGTGTGGGCCGTTTCGAGACATTAGATGGACATTTTGTAAATTGAGCGTTTACTATATGATTGTTTGATTTTATCAACAAGTTGTGTAATTTTCTATCAAATACAATCGGTCATCCTCACCTGTGTTCTTTTGCACTACAGTACTACAGTTTCTAATCCAATGATTGGAATATTCTTTGACATAGAGGTAATGAGTTGTATTGGACGCTAATCGTAATGTTTGTTGTATGTCGTTCATGATCAACGTCGTTAAGTGACATAACCAGAATTTAGTCTTTCCAGATGAACAACTGGGTGATAGGTTGATGAGAAATCGAGACAATTTCTAGGCACAAATATAAAGAACTACCATTCAGGTTTCCTATAGATTACTTCCAAACACTCAGCATTGAAACCTCTTGTCCGAGATTCTTTTATTTAATGAATGGCTACTAAAACCATTTTTCTTAATCTACCATTCAATGTAAAAATTGCCTCTTATATAATAAACTACGGAATAAAATTCCACAAATGTTTAGCGAGAAGTCATTATTAATAGGAGTTCTATCATGTTCAGAGTTTACGTAGTTATCAGTGGACGTAATTCGCTTGTCATCCTATGGTGGAAGTTGTTTAAAGTTGAAAATGCAGGCTAATAAATTGTGATATGAATTCACTTGATGCTGTTTTATTTGTATCTTCCTAAATAACAGTGGGAAGATACAAGTAAAACAACAATAAGTGAATTTAAACTTCACCCCATTGCACAAGCAAGTGGCTATCAGGACTCAGTAGCTGAGTGGATCACGCGATGGCGTTTGAAGCGAACGGTACTGGGTTCTAGTCGTAGATTGACTATCAACTGTGACATGCCGGAATATCCAGCTGACGACTCGCAAGTAGGACAAAACGTGTGTCCTGGATTCCACTGCTAGCCACGATCCATGTTTATTTAAAGATTCTGACATGTTTTGAAATATTGTAAATCCCCTTAAGCTTATTGGAGCGTAAACTGGTCAGAACCGAACTGGGATCAAACAACTGCACAATACTCTATATTTTTCAATACATTATTAGCAAGCTTTCGAAACATGGTGTTGCTGATACTCAAGAATGAATTCTTCGATAGTTTCTAAATTCATTTTTAAGTCATGTTGATTGACTTGACAAATTTATTTTGCAGCGAGTATAATAAGCTGAATTTACCTAGATGAAATTCAGTCCACTTCACTTCGCAGTTCCGACCGTTCTGTTCGAACTAGTGCAGCTTACTTAATATTTTGTAGTATTACATAAGCTGTTCGCTTATCTTATGTGAAAACAAAGTAAAATACACACATTTTTAGAAACACTGTATCTTCCTAAATCGGTCCAACCATTTTGTTTCTTCTGGTTCATTCTTATTGTTCTTTTCCAGTCTAATCCTTTTCAGGTCCAACTATTATTGTATTAAAAAAGAGGAGGAACATCATTCTCAAGCCCGTTTTCGCTCTTGTGATTATTTACCAGCCCACAGTAAGAATAGTAAAGGCAACAGGAATTTTCCTTAAGATTTTACGATGTTTCTCATCATTTTATGACGACTCACTTCGGTTTCTTTAGAGTTGTTCTTCATTTTTTAGCGTGGTTCATCGGCTTAATCTCAGAGAAATTGTTAACCTCTTTCTACCACACTCGACCACATAGACAGCAAAATGGTTATTACATCGCTTGAATTAAATTATTATTACTATTCCTTACTGTTTATTTCTGTCCATTCTTGACTGAAGTTATTCGTTATTCGTGCCTGTATTTGTGTAGTTCTGTGTTACTGTCCTCTATTTCTAATACAGACTGACTACAGTTTTTCTTTTGACATTTCATATTCATATAAGTTAATACTTGTTCCATCATTGATGCAGAATTGAACTGAGTCTGTTTTTTTATGCACACACATGCACGTAAACACAAATACGAACATAGTCACCAAAGAAGAACCCTTCAGGTTGATCTGAACAAGACACTTTTTTAAAAAACAGTATGAATTACTCTGTTGTCTGCTTAACATTATTCCCATTCAGTTTGACCTAGCAATATGAGAGAATGTTCAGTTATTTTGTTGTACTAAGCCCATTTGCCATTGGCTTTAGTTCTTCTTTATATCTGAAAGAGATTTATCGATACGACGAATAATTATAAAAGTTGATATGAAGATATGGGTTGAAGCATTTTTGTTTTTGTTTATTGAGTAATAAACATAAATGAGTTACGAAATTCAACCATGGTACTTAGCGTATCTGTAAATCTGAAAGATGAAGACTTTTACTGAAATAATAACGTAAAAAATAATTATGACATACGATAGTGTAAGTAAGAGTTGATAGATGTGTTTAATCTTGATAACAGTCTATCAACAAGCAAAAACTAAACTAAAAGCAAACAAACATGGAAACCACTGCGTTTAAACACAAGTTAAGCGACCATACGAAATGAGAATAACTGCTCCTAGGATTGAGAGAAAATAATTATAATGATGAATACAATAAATGTTATATATTTATGTAAATATTTTAGAATAATACACGAACAACATGCGTTACAACATGCGCGTAGAAATTGCTGAGAACACAACTATTTACTGAATATTATTAAGTAGTATAAAAATAGACAAAAAAGAATGACTGGTGAAGTGGCGTCATGAAAGGTCAAAATTCAACTTTTCTACTCATTGGGTTAAAACAAAAATATATTTATTATTAACTTTCTATTCAGTGCTCAGTTTGTTAAGAAACTATCAAGTCCCACCTTCGTATTGATACATACAAACAAAGAGGAGTTTTGGCGGAAAGAGAGTAAGGATACGGAACGAAATAAGCTTGACACCGCCTCCCAAAGACAGCATCTCTTTCCTTATTCTTACTGACTACACATTTAGTTTAAAGACATTCAGAGACGACAATGATGCAAGTTACTCTAGCTGCAGTCGCTCCGGGAATTTATTCTACGCCATACTACTCAATGTCCTGTCGACAAGTTTATAAATTATTTTGAGTCTGAGATGTTTGTTATAGAAGCCAAGGTATAACTTTTTCCAAAGTGATGATCTAGTGTTTTGTGTAAACAAAGAATGAGTTTTCGTTTGACTAGCGTTATGTATTTTACTCGGTGGCTCACCCGTCTGTATGAGGCAGTCGGACTCACATTACTATGTCTACTATCATTTCCATGCACGCATCCGTATTTCCCTTTTGTCCACATATAGGCCTTGCCTACTTAATTTAAACCAACTCATCACTCTTCTTATTTTTTCATATCGAACGACGGTATCAAGTCCTACGAGAAATTATTGAAAGCATAAGACAGCCCTCGAAGTCATTTAAAGTTGACTTATGATTTGGTATGTTAGTGATTTGAAGAACAAATTTCCAGCTGTTAATATGAAAAGATTCTGATCAGTGGATAATATCCAGTGATACGATGTGGCCGAATGATGGCTATTCAAGACCAAATTATTAACGTAAGTCTCTGTATAACTTGAGATAAAAGACAAGACCTAGTCTGATAATCCCTGATGTTTGACGTAATTTCGACAGGAATTCAAAAATTCCTGTTGGCTAATGTCAACTTATGTCTCTTGAGATGTAGTTAAGATATCCATCTACCAACTGAGGGACGAGTTGACTGCGCAGTAGTTCTGTACATCCTACTTTGTGAAGGATGGCCATTAAAAGTAGATGATATTCATAGGTTACTAGTATTCAGTCATAGGTGTCTTCGTGTGCTTTAGGACAATTGAGTTGGGGATTCGGATGTTAGACGCAGAGTACTAGGTAACGATGGCAAATCAACTGGCGATGTGGTGAACATTTGCCGACTGAGACAATTCGAACACGTATTGCATATGCCCATTCACTGACTTCCACGACGTGCGATGATGTCTGGTGTAGGAATAGGTCGGAAGAAAGATGGGGTGACCGAACCAAGACATGACATCAATCTACGAAGGCACCAACTGTTGAACTGAGCAATGTGGGTGGGTGTATTGTCTGGTTGAGGTACATGCAATTATTGTAACCAATTGTAAGAGGATGAGTAACATGACTCAAAATCGTTCATAATGACTCAAGTGTGCTCACTCTTTGTCTCTCCTTAAATAATAAATTTCTAATTTCCTTAAAAACTTATTTCACTAAATGATATTTTCGTCTCGAACTGTATTTTCGATGCCTATCCTTTTCTATTTCGACTTGTACTGTTGATACCTGTACTACTATAGGATTCTCTCGGACAATTATATCTCGTTGCGCGATGGGATGTAGCAACATGTACCAGGTCCAACGTTATTAATGACCGATTGAATGATCAGCTTCTTCAAAATTGGAATACACCCTATCGGTGAAAGCCAGTGGGTACGAAATCTTGTTACAGGTTATCTTGTTGATTATTCTAAACATTTACAGGTGAAACTTATTTTAAGCTAAATTCAAAGATTAGAGTTTCCAAAGTTAATATAGTTAGGGACTTACTCAATGTTTACCACATATTATGAACTTCGATCTAATTAAATCCAAACATTTATTAACAGACTTATGTAATCTAATTTCTGTAACTTAATAAACAATTTTAATTTATATAATCCTGTGATACACTTAAACAACTTTGAGTGGATATTAATAGTTTTCATAATATTTATATTTAATAATGTCAGCGTTAGTGATGGCTGGGATACTACCCGGGTGCCCAAACCGAACCAGGTAGTTTTCGTACAG